ACTATGTTCTTCTTATCAAAGAACTAAACAAAGTACTAGAAAAATATTCTTATATTTATCCTTGCAATTATATTATATTATAATGCTATGCAAGAAATGCTACAATTCTAATTTCGTAAAGCAAGTAATATGTGACTTGGAAGTATCCGATACTTCAAAATTAAGTATCTGATACTCCAAAATTAATAAAAAAAATTAATTAAGAAGTATTTGATAATTTTCATAAGTATCCAATACATATCCGTGAATATCCAAAGAGTATCGGTATAAGATACGGATACGATATGGTTACGCCACCCTATTTGAAGTATATGTGCTTCATAGTTTATACTAAATGAGTTTAAAGTATTAAATAATTCTGGAAATAAATGTTTCAGATAAAGGAAACTAGGATGTCCGGTGCAGCGTGTAGGTCGATTATAACCTTCATGCCATATTTTCTGGAACCAAATTAACCAAAGGTCCTCATTCAAGATACGGCCATGTAGCTAAGAATGTATTGGAACAGAGGGACTGAAAAATTTCAGGACAGAACATCGCAATTTTATAGTAATTCAATCGGCATTCTTGGTTGGGTGAAGGCATCTAGTTGAACTATTGAGTACTAAAAATGAAAGACAGAGTATATTTTGAGGATTGACAGTGAATTTAACCCTAAAGTAAAAAATACATACCGTGCCCACGAGAAGGCATTGTCCAAGGCTTTTAAGGATCCTCCAACATATGGCGCTGGGGGTGTTGGATCGAAAGCTATCCACCACCCCACTGGAATTCTCACAGTGTTGATTCCATTGCTTGACATGAACTTGAAATCGTCTTCTGTTATGAAAGTGTTCCAGTGCTCCTGCAATGCATAACATCATCATCAGAACCTTGAAAAATTTTAATTTAGAAATGAGAATTTATAGTGAAAGCTTAATGATCAAATTGTGTTGATTTTTTCAAGATGTTTTTATCTTACCCTCATAACTTTTGGTGCCAATTTGCCATAACCATTGGTCACTTGAAACTCGCCATCGAATTGCCTCCCAATTTTCATCTCAAAAACAGATGGATCATCATCTCCCCATCCGCCATCCCCTTTGGAATCAGCTGTCACATGCCCCTCTTTGTTTACCTGCAAGTTCATAATATAGTATGTGAATGCTAAATAAAGTTTTAAAGTCAAAAAAAGGGGGGGAGCAAATTAACCTGTAAGAAAAAACCGTTAGGTGCTTTGATTCGAATACGGGTTGAACGATGATTATACTTCAAAATCTGAAACGTTTCTGATCTACCAGGTTTTTTTGAAACAGGTACAATGTAGGATCCCTTTTTGGAACTTTGCAATCCCATGAATTTCTTGTTACAGAGTCTAAAGTGAAAATTGGACTCGTTAATCCTCCACAACTGCACAAAACATCAAATGGAGTTTTTTTTTTTTTTTTAATTTTAAATGTTATTCTTGGTCCAATATTAAATCTTAGTTGTGCGATGCCTCAGATGAATGAAACACAAAAAATGATTAATATTTGACATAAACATATATAATATCATCATGAATTACTGATTTAATTAAACTTTGTAGGATAAAAGAAATGAAAATCAAACCTACAAGTCCCTTTCTTTTCTTTAATTTACCCAAATAAAGGTCTTTTCTTTTTAAATACCATATTTGGCTCTCTCCAACAAAAAAAGAATACTATTTTTTCTGAGTAATTTGTAAGAATGTGAATGCAGATTAATGAGACAATATTGAAATTAAGCACCAATCTAACTCTAATTATATATAATAAGGAGGTAATTAACTTACTGTAAATATTAGTTTTTTTTTTAACTTACCCTAAATATTAGTTTGGTAGACCTTTTTTGGTTAGTTTAGTGCTAGTCTTCCTCCATTTGTCCCTGGGCAAAGAAATTTCCCAGCCTTTACCGATTTTAGCCGCAGATATGTTCCATCCTAACAAAAAATATATGATCAATGAGGGCAATAAAAAATATATGTATACAAGTTTTTAAAATTTTGTTAACCAGCGACTTAAAGGCATTGCCTAACTAAGTATAAAATAGTTTTTACATTTTTTATGGCATGTTATGGCATGCACTCCATAAAAATGTACAACTATTTAAAATTTATCAACAAGTGTATTTTTTTTTATTTTTTTTCAAATTTTCTCAATGTAAATTTACACAACAAACATGTGCATATCATTTACTGTGTTAATCAACATAGAAAAGTGAAAAACATTATAAAATTCATCTAGTAATATATCTCTTATGTGTGGATTCATACAGGATATGAAATGTTCTGTCACTTTATCTCAATACATTTTAAGTCATAGATAATTATGTCATGAAAATTTTATATTTTGAGATTCTCACATTACGCTAAGAAATGCATTAAGACAGAGACAATTTGGGACACAAGATCTGTGGCACCATATAGGAGGTAAAGGTCCTATTTAGTAGAGCTGTGGGAAAGTGATTATAACTTATAACTTAACAGCTTATACCTTATAACTGTGAACATAAGCTGATTTTTGACTTATAAATTAAGCTTCTCCTCCCCCACTCAAAGAATAAGTTGAATTTTGACTTACAAAAAGCTATAACCTGTATTGTTAAGCTGAACCAAATATATCAAAATAGCTTAAATTAAGCTAAAAGCTAAAATAAGCTGGAAATAAGTCTTACCAAATACGGCCAAACAATAATAAAAACTAAAAAATATGTGATTATAACTTCTACAGATATAGATATACAAACCAATAAGTCCTTGTTTGGGATGCCATAAAAAAGAGATGGTTTAATCCATCCTTCTACAAGGAGCCAGCCTCCAAGGTTAACACCTCGGACATGAAAATGGGGATCGGCCTTCCCGCAGGCAACATATACCAAACAAGAAGCAAAAATGCTAATTAATAGCTTCCTTGTTGACCATATTATTGTCATTTTTATTTAAAAACCACTCCTAGCCCTTTGTTAATGGAGTGGCAAAAACTAATACTTATGTATGTGTTATTAATTATGTTATTAATTGTGCTATAGAAACGCCAATTTTAATTGTGTTATTAATTGTTTTATTAAAAATGCTAATTAATAGCTTCAATTTTTGCCAATTTGTGTTATTAATTATTCTATTAAACGCCAATTTTGTATGCTCTTATTATTATAATAATAATAATTATTACTATTTAACATTTATGGTAAACTGCTATTATATGTACACACACATATGTATGTGTGTGTACATATATGTCTTCATAGGTTGTGATGTTTTAATTGAGAAGTGTTGTAACGTTCTTGATATCAGTTCATTAAAGATATGAGGATCACTTATATTTGTTTTAATTAATTGTGTGAGGAAGAAGCTTTGTTTTCCAGCCTATTTTAGGAGTAGCCAAACAAGGAATAATATTGAATTTTTGTCAATTTGTGTTATTAATTGTGCTATAGAAACGCCAATTTTGTATGCTCTTATTATGATAATAATTATTACTATTTAACATTCATGGTAAACTGCTATTATATGTACACACACATATGTATGTGTGTACATATATGTCTTTATAAGATGTGATGTTTTAATTGAGAAGTGTTGTAACGTTCTTGATATCAGTTCATTAAAGATATGAGAACTGTTTGTATTTGTTTTAACTAATTGTGAGAGGAAGATGCTTTGTTTTGCTGCCTATTTTAGGAGTAGCCAAACAAGGAATAGTATTGAATTTTTGCCAATTTGTGTTATTAATTGTGTAATAGAAATGCCAATTTTGTAGGCTCTTATTATAATAATAATTATTACTATTTAACATTCATGGTAAACTGCTATTATATGTACACACACATATGTATCTGTGTGTACATATATGTCTTTATAGGACATGATGCTTTAATTGAGAAGTGTTGTAACGTTTTTGATATCAGTTCATTAAAAATATGAGGATCATTTGTATTTGTTTGAATTAATTATGAGAGGAAGATGCTTTGTTTTGCTGCCTATTTTAGGAGTAGCCAAACAAGGAATAATATTGAATTTTTGCCGATTTGTGTTATTAATTGTGCTATAGAAACGTCAATTTTGTATGTTCTTATTATAATAATAATAATTATTATTATTTAACATTCATGGTAAACTGCTATTATATGTACAAACACATATATGTGTGTGTACATATATGTCTTTATAAGATGTGATGCTTTAATTGAGAAGTGTTGTAACGTTCTTGATATCAGTTCATTAAAGATATGAGGATCGTTTGTATTTGTTTTAACTAATTGTGAGAGAAAGACGCTTTGTTTTGCTGCCGATTTTAGGAGTAGCCAAACAAGAAATAGTATTGAATTTTTGCCAATTTGTGTTATTAATTGTGCTATAAAAATGCCAAATTTGTGTGCTCTTACTATAATAATAATTACCACTATTCAACATTCATGGTAAACTGCTATTATATGTACACACACATATGTATGTGTGTACATATATGTCTTTATAGGATGTGATGTTTTAATTGAGAAGTGTTGTAACGTTCTTGATATCAGTTCATTATAGATATGAGGATCATTTGTATTTGTTTTAACTAATTGTGAGAGGAAAATGCTTTGTTTTGCTGCCTATTTTAGGAGTAGCCAAACAAGGAATAGTATTGAATTTTTGCAACTTAGTGTTATTAATTGTGCTATAGAAATGCCAATTTTCTATGCTCTTATTATAATAATAATTATTACTATTTAACATTCATAGTAAACTGCAATTATATGTACACACACATATATACGTGTGTGTACTTATACGTCTTTATAGGATGTGATGCTTTAATTGACAAGTGTTATAACGTTCTTGATATCAATTCATCAAAGATATGAGGACCGTTTGTATATGTGTTAACTAATTGTGAGAGGAAGATGCTTTGTTTTGCTGCCTATTTTAGGAGTAGCCAAACAAGGAATAGTATTGAATTTTTGCCAAATTGTGTTATTAATTGTGCTATCGAAACGCCAATTTTGTTTGCTCTTGTTATGATAATAATTATTGCTATTTAACATTCATGATAAACTGTTATTATATGTAAACACACATATGTATGTGTGTGTACATATATGTCTTTATAGGATGTGATTCTTTAATTGAGAAATGTCGTAACGTTCTTAATATTAGTTCATTAAAGATATGAGGATCGTTTATATTTGTTTTAACTAATTGTGAGAAAAAGAAGCTTTGTTTTGCCGCCTATTTTAGGAGTAGCCAAACACGTAATAGTATTGAATTTTTGCCAATTTGTGTTATTAATTGTGCTATAGAAACGTCAATTTTGTATGTTCTTATTATAATAATAATTATTATTATTTAACATTCATGGTAAACTGCTATTATATGTACACACATATATGTGTGTGTACAAATATGTTTTTATAAGATGTGATGCTTTAATTGAGAAGTGCTATAACGTTCTTGATATCAGTTCATTAAATATATGAGGAGCGTTTGTTTTTGTTTTAACTAATTGTGAGAGGAAGATGCTTTGTTTTGCTGCCTATTTTAGGAGTAGCCAAACAAGGAATAGTATTGAATTTTTGTCAATTTGTGTTATTAATTGTGCTATAGAAACGCCAATTTTGTATGCTCTTATTATAATAATAATTATTACTATTTAACATTCATGGTAAACTGCTATTATATGAACACACACATATGTATGTGTGTGTACATATATGTCTTTATTGGATGTGATGTTTTAATTGAGAAGTGTTATAACGTTCTTGATGTCAGTTCATTAAAAATATGAGGTTCATTTGTATTTGTTTGAATTAATTATGAGAGGAAGATGCTTTGTTTTGCTGCCTATTTTAGAAGTAGCCAAACAAGAGATAGTATTGAATTTTTGCCGATTTGTGTTATTAATTGTGCTATAGAAACGTTAATTTTGTATGTTCTTATTATAATAATAATTATTATTATTTAACATTCATGGTAAACTACTGTGTACATATATGTCTTTATAAGATGTGATGTTTTAATTGAGAAGTGTTGTAACGTTCATAATATCAGTTCATCAAAGATATGAGGATCGTTTGTATTTGTTTTAACTTATTGTGAGAGGAAGGTGCTTTGTTTTGCTGCCTATTTTAGGAGTAGCGAAATAAGGAATAGTATTGAATTTTTGCCAATTTGTGTTATTAATTGTGCTATAGAAACGCCAATTTTGTATGCTCTTATTATAATAATAATTTTTACTATTTAACATTCATGGTAAACTGCTATTATATGTATAAACACATATGCATGTGTGTTTATATATATGTCTTTATAAGATGTGACGCTTTAATTGAGAAGTGTTGTAACGTTCTTGATATTAGTTCATTAAAGATATGAGGATCGTTTGTTTTTGTTTTAACTAATTGTGAGAGGA